AAAACGTGGCATCAGGATTGGAGGAAGACTCATTAACAACCTGCAATATGCAGATGATACAACCTTGCTTGCTGAAAGTTAAGAGGACTTAAAACATTTACTGATGAAGATTTAAGATCACAGCCTTCACTATGGATTACATCTCAATGTCAAGAAAACAAAGATCCTCACCATTGGACCAATAAACAACATTCTTATCAAAGGAGAAAAGATTGAAGTTGTCAAGGACTTCATTATTCTTGGATCAACTATCAACACTCGTGGAAACAGCAGTCAAGAGATCAAACGATGTATTGCATTGGGCAAATCTGCTGCACAGGAACTTTTTAAAGTGTTGAAGAACAAAGACGTCAGCTTGAGGACTAAGGTGTGCCTGACCCAAGCCATGGTATTTTCAATAACTTCATTCATATGGAAGTGAAAGCTGTACAGTGAATAAGGACGACCGTAGAAGAATTGATTCCTTTGAATTTCGGTGTTGGAAGAGAATACTAAAAGTGCCATGGAATGCAAAAAGAACCAATAGATCTGTTTTGGAAGAAGTACATCCAGAGTGCTCCTTTGAGGCCAGGATGGCAAAACTTCATCTCTGATACTTCAGACGTATTGTCAGGAGGGAACAGTCACTGGAGAAGAATATCATGCTTGGTAAGATGGAGGGTTGGAGAAAAAGAGGAAGACCCCCAATGAGATGGATTGGCCAGGTGGCAGCATTGATGGACTCAAGTGTGGAAGTGGTAGTGAGGTTGGCCCAGGATCAGACATTCTTTCGTTCTGCTGTGCGTGGTGTTGCTATGAGTTGGCTCCGACTCGATGGTACCTGACAACAACAACAACAACAAACTTGAGGGACTCATCTTACAGCATTATAACTCATAATGTTCTGCTGTTATTCAGAAAGTTTTCTGTTGACAAATATTCAGAAATAGATACCTCTCCTTCCTTCTCTTAAGAAGGAAGAAATATTCAGAAACCTGTCCACCATGCATGACCCTGCTGGTATTTGCAATACCAGTGGCATTGCTTCCAGCATTAAAACAACATGCAAGCCACCACAGTACAACAAACTGACAGACTAATGGTGGTGGCTATGTTAGTTTCCATATTTATTAAAATATTTTTCCACATTACCTTTTCAGGTGGTGGTGGTGGTTATGCATCTTGGAGTCAGTTCTGACTCATAGAGACCCTGTATAGGATTAGTGAGGCTGTCAGTCTTCACTGGAGCAGAAAGCTTCATCTTTCTCCCATGGAGCAGCTGGTAGATTCCAACTGCTAATCCTGAAGTTTGCAGACCAACTATCAAGATTCCTTTATATTTTCAGAATTTCTTCTGATTTGAGAAATATAAGTGGCTCTATTCAAGAAACTATTATTTGTCTAATCAATATTTTATTGATGTGCTAGTCAAATAGCCAGAATCAAAATAGAATAGTTCTACCTAACTGAACCTAACTAGTGAACCTTTAGTTTTCTAATGATTCCACTTTTCTTCACTAACAACTTACAAATGATCTGTTGTTGAAAGTTTGGCATACATGTTATTAGTCTGTTTTTATTTCCCTAGTCTGTATTTTTTAAACTATACTTTTTAAATGTGTCAAAAATTCAGGGTGAGCAGAATTTTCCATGATTTAAAAATGTTTCCAGCTGTTAATTACAAACAGATTTTTTTTTAATAATTATAAAATATGAAGAACTAACCATTTCTCCCACAATTTTTTTTACTTCTCAGTTGGGTTTGATGATCTGTTGCAGTGACCACATAGAAGTCAGGCAACATAATAACAGTTATGGGGTTTATTAGAAAAGTTAGCAGGTTAAAATACGGGTTTAGGAAAAGCTCAGGGCACAGTTGTTCCAGTGAGATGTTGATAAATATCCAGAGGACATACAACTCTACTATGACCCTCAGCTTGAAGTCACTGTCTCTAGTTTCATGGGTCAGCAAATCTACTGACTCTACTTAAGTGCCTGGAGGCACCAGATTCTACAAGCAAACTTCCTGCCCAACATTACTCAGCTTTACTTGCTCCATAGGCTGGGAAGCCCAAAACTCTGTCTCATGCTCTGGTTCTTGCTTTTTCTGCTATTGCTCCTCTGCCTCCTTTGGTGCCCCAGCTTTCTGTTTCTGGGTTGACAAAGTTCAGTTCACAGGGATCTTGGGTTGTGAAGCATGCTCTCCTCTCCTTGCTCTTCTTTAATGGTAGTAAGATCTCTCTGTCCTGCTTCTGAGCTGGTTCCTTTCACACCCATGCTAGAGTTCCAAGTTTTTGCAATTACAATTAGCTCTGCTAACATCCACAACTCAATCATATTATCATATCAGTACCTTTGACAACCGCCTCTTACATAGACCCAAGAGGGCAGAAATGTTGTTTGTTATAGGCTATGGCTAGAAGAAACATTAGAAAATTCACTGCACCACAATAATCAAATAGTATTCTGCTCTTAACTTGAATAAATTCAGTAGTTGGTACTCACAAAAACCACTTGAAAACTGAATGTCAAGGGATTGGCTTGTTAAAATGTAGAAACTAGAGTGAGTACTTCTGGGAAAAGTTTTTCTATGATTATGGTTGTTGTTAAATGCAGTCAAGACTCACAGCAACCTGTGTAGGGTTTCTAATGAGCAGCTGACACGTTTGAACCACAAACCTTGTGGTTAGTATCCAGTACTTATCCTACAGTACCACCCAAGGTCTAATTGATTTGGGAAACAAATTCAAGCTATTTTCATGTTTACAACTGTTACTTTTGCAATGTTAGAGAAAAAAAATGCACATTCTGCTCTACAGTGGTTTAGGTTTAGTGATAGTTTATGGATATGAATGTACTGATGTGGCATCAGAGATAAGTCTTTTCTCACCTTTTAAAGTATCTTTGGTTCCATTATTCCAAGCTCCCTCTGTCAGAAAGTTTTGCAGATATTCAGAGACAATTCTCTCAAGCTACCTTCACCTTTTGTTTTGTTTCTCTTGTTTTGTTTTTGTTGTTGTTGTTGTTGTTGTTCTTCTTCTTCTTCTTCTTCTTCAGGAAAACCCACCACACTATCTGAAACAATGGGGAAAGCTGAAATATGGCTGATTAGAACCTATTGGGATTTTGACTTTCCTCGTCCATTCTTGCCACATTTTGACTTTGTTGGAGGGCTCCACTGCAAGCCTGCCCGTCCCTTGCCTAAGGTAAGCATATTATTGTTTGTTTTCTATTTTTAATTGAAATTCTTCATTCAGAATATTTGACTAAGTAAGAAAGAAATGGGAAGTAGGATGAAATTATATGCAAATTAGAAATTCATATATTCCCATGCCACAATGTGTATCTGAATATATCTTTACAGAATAAAGTGGAATATCTGTGAGACTTTGAGAATAATGTCTGCTAAATTAAAGCCTTGATTATTTAACACACAAGAAAGTACCAATCATTCATTCAAAGAGTATTTATAAAGTGACTACTATATTCCAGGTGAGCAAGTTGCTGGTAGGATATGCAGAAAAACTAAGCAAACAAGGTTTCTTTCCCCTGCCCCATCTACCCCACCACACACACACATATATTCTACTTGGAAAAACAGAACAGACATAAGTAATAAAAATAGAGTGTGAAAAGGGCTATAAAAAGAAAAGACCACAATGCTAAGGAAACATTTAGCAGCAATCATAGAAAGTAAACCAGAGTCATTGATAATTAAGGTGAAAGGTATATAGGAATAACTAGGGAAGATGAGGGGAAGAGAAAGACAAAAACAAAGCAGCTAGCATGGTAATGGCAGTTCCCAAGCTTGCTAAGTTCAATGGAACAGGAAGAAGAATAAGAAAGCAGATGATGAAGAGGAGGTTAGTTGGAGACAGAAGGAGTTCAAAGCATCTATTAAGGGCATTGGGGAGCTAGAGGAAAGAGTTAAGCAAGGGAGAGACACAATCAGCATTCTTTTTCTAAAAGACCTTTCAAGATTCCGTTACTGAATTAGAATGGCAAATCCCTTAAGAGGTTATTGTAGGAGATCAGGCACCAGATGATGGGAAAATGAACTAGAATGTTCAAAGAGGAAGAACTATTCCTAGAGCACTACAACCTCATATGGTGGGTGTCTAGAAAACATTACTTAATACATAATCAAACACAAAATCTCTCTGACACAGAATCAGCAATCCAAAAGTAATACTAACTATTATAATAACTGCTGTTTCTGCTACTATTACTTTTACTCTTAATCGTTTATATTTGTCAGGCACTTTAACAACAGATCAAAATTATATTCTCTAGCAAAGTCCTCAAGGACAGATATCTTGTGGCATTTTTTAAAGTGGATGTATGTGGTTTGTTGTTGTTAAATGCCATTGAGTTGGTCCCAACACACAGCAACCTTGTATACAGTTTCTGAGGAGTGACTGATGGGTTTGAACCTCCGACCTTGTGGTTCAAACTGACTTTGTGATCCACCGTATTATCCTTCAGTGCCACACCAGGACTCCAGCTATACATTTAAGCGGGTTGAAATGCTTTAATTTTGCTGTAGGACTTCAACTTTTCACTAGTATTGCAGCTTTGAAGAAAATCATTCCTAAACAACATAAATAAATAAATATAAATGGGTAGTGCTAGCAATATTTTTAGCCAACCCACAGTTAATTTGCTTTACAGCATTGAAACTATTCATCCTTTAAAAGTCTAAAGCTTTGTATCTTAGAGAATAAAAGGATGGCTTGGCTTATCAGAGCAAGTGTTTTCTGTCATTTAGCAATTCTGAAGTAAAACTCC